GTGAAAACAGCCATGTTCTTCTTAAATCAAATGATAAAAGACAATCAACTATATGAGTTGTGCCCAAACTACTGCCTTCTAGGTCAAACTGGCCCGCAAAATACTTAACACATGATTTATAAATAGGCCCACTTTTTGTATATTTGAAATATGCAAAATATTTTTGGCTCCCCAATCAAAAATTATGTACACCACTGATTTACATGACAGAAATTTTCGTGTTTACCTTTATGTTCATGAACACCTTTATGTGTTGTTTCTTAAGAATTTTTATGATTTCCGTATGTTCATTCTTATATTCAACACGATGCCATTAATCTTTAAGAATTTTTATATTTGCCTTTTGTAATTTTTTGAATAAAAATGTATAATTTTAATTAATTATCATTTCTTCTTTCATACGGAACTAATAAAATTTTTAGTTTGAAATTATATGTTTTAATTTTGAGTTTTTTTTTGTTAAGAGTTTCATTAAATTATTTTTAAATTATTGGAAATTTAGAATATTATTTGCTTAATAATTAAATAAACTAAGAATTTATATAATTTAAAAATATATATATTTACACAATAATTTATCAGTTAGAATCCCTCTTTACGACTTATACTTTTACGACAGATAATAGATTTCTATAATAACTGTAAGAAATATAATTTTTATTTGACATCTCTTCGTGATATATATTATTTTTATAATGGATTTCCAGCAACGTGATCTTAATTTATAAAATTCAGCTCATGGGTAATAAAAGATCCCACTTTTGTGGCTCTTTAACAGGAACTAACTAAACCATAGAAATGTCATCTATTGTTATGTAATGAATTGATAATTCTATATTTTATCATGATGAATCGAACGATATGAATTAAAAATTACGTGTATGAGAAGCAAAGTTTGAATTGTAGATGCAAATTGAAACTCTATCGGAATATGGCGGAACATTGTTCATATTGCATTTGCGCAGTGAAAGAACACATGTAGATTAGATAATTTGGCTTATTTTATTAGTCTATAAAATGTAGGCAAGTTGCAGGAATCGCTTCATAATTCCTCAGCATCTAACAGGTAAGATATATCAAGTTAAAATATCTAGAATAACCTAGTAAGTTAATTAACTTTCCTATGTGAAAAATATAGTAATTTCTATATAACGAAATAAATACTATAGGCTATAGAATATTTTTATTGTCATCTTAGGAGAAAAGGACAGCAGGAATGATTTACATCTTTTTAATTTCTTTGATGTGTGTTGTGTTTGAAGTTAATGCATACAAAGCTAAAATCAGAGTTCCTAAAGTTGACGGTAAGTTGAAATTAATTTTAGATGTTTATTATAATTTAAAACATTAAATTTATTAAATATAAAATAAAAAATTTGTGTTTGAAATAAATTCTCTGATCGTGCAATCTTCATTTAAACAAATTAAATATATATTTCATCAGAAATAATGTTGCATTGTCATGTTATTTAACAAAACATTCCCGGATCAATTCTTAAAAAATCTAGCAACGACTTGCCTAACTTTCCTTGCAATATTTAAAACTGCGTGTGATGCCATCTGTTATGATACCCCCTCCCCCAATATACAAACCATCTTGCAAAAGTTCAGAGGTTTTGGACAAAAAAGCACAGCTTCAAAGAAGGTAAATATAATCGTGCAAAACACATAAATACAGAAAAAACCGTCGAATTCTTTTTGCATTTTTCGTCTGATCGTGTGGGTGACAGTTATTTTTATTCATATGTTTAGAAACCACAGTACGTGTATACAATACCATACTTAAAAAATAAAAATCATTTTTACACAGACATTTTGAGTTTAAACAAGTATTTTTTAAATGTAGTTTTAATCTCCTGTTATAGTTGAATGAAAACAGAAAACAGAGCCTAATAAAGTCAACTAATTTTGAAAAGAATAGAAAATATACACATTGTATATACAGTGACATTTTGATTAGACACGATCATATTTTAAATGGAGCAAGTTTCATAAAGTAAATTACTATGTTTCTTAATACTATTCATTCCGTGATCAGTTTTATTATGTTTTACTAATTTTACATACAGTCGACCCATCAATAACACGGTAGATACGTTCCTGTTTTTATGAATCCAGCTTCTAGGAGTCAAGCCAATCGCAGTTCGGCACGTGGGCAGTTTACGGACTACGGCTGTTTGAAAGGTCTTCTTCCATAAAATTAATCGATTCTAAACTAATTCGACTCAACATTTCCATAACACGTATAGTTTTTTTGGGAATAATCCAAATAAACTATGCTGTAAACAAAAAGCTGTAGGATTACTTACCGAGTGTGCACCGTTCGACTACGCCGTTGCTTAAGCTTGTTTTCCTCGTGGACATTGTCATCGAATGGCGATCGCGTGCTTTCTGATAAATTATTTTTTTTTGCGAAAAATTCGCTGAACTTTAGAGACATCATTAATATAAATATAATTTTTATGGACGTTAAATAATAAATGGTTTTTGGTAGGTTTGCTGCTCGTTTAAACTCAACGGTTTGTGCAATCCTGTCGCGACATGAGTCGATGATGACGTTTTACCGAATTATAGGAGTTTTTTTAGCAAATGTTTGTACGAATACTGTCGCAATTTTTTCGCCGTGATATAGAAAACCGAACTATAGGAACCCGTGTTATGGGGGGGTCGACTGTATTACATTTCAATTTTAGGAGTTTTCCAAAACAATGATACCATTTTAAATTATTTTAATTATGTTACTTATTCTCTGAGAACGTTGTAATGTCCATTAAAACACTAGAAAACTGTCCAAGTTTCACATTTTTCTATTACAATTTTTCAATGTGTCACAAGGCACACATCCCAGCAATACTCAAATTCTTCCATCAATCGTTATAACATATCCGTTGTCACTCCTCTCACAAAACCCACAATTGTTCAGTTCATGAATATTATCCACGTTGTGCAATGATGAGTGATGTTAACTTTGTGAATTGCAGAATACAAAACGCTTTCTCTCCATTTTCTTTAACGTAGTTTCGTAGAAATAGTGTACAGTAGATGAGAGTTAAAACTCGCACAGTTACTCTATCGATTGATGTAAAATACATCGCATACTTCTCAGATAATAATTGACATAATTACAGTAATGTAAATGATGGAATCCTCATTGAAACACTTTGTATATATAATGTATATATATACAAAGTGTATAATGTAATGGCCCAAATTAAACTTGACATTTCCCAGCTGACTACAGCAAAACTGTTCATCAGAAAATCATGAAAGTTTGAGAATGCCATAATGAGATGATGGAAATTTTTTCCAGAGTAAAATAAATTAGTTCTAATAACTACCACTACAGGGCGTTTTACGGCTTTGTACAGAATATAAGAATGAGCCACACAAGTTATCTGTCTTACGTGAACAAACCGTGTTAAAATCATGATGACCACCATTGTCTGCTAACATCTGAGGACCCCAGAGCCAAAAATCGCAAGGATTGAAGTCTGAAAATCTTGCAGGTCAATTTGCCACTATTTTAGTTTAAAAAGCGCTTTCTAGTAATTGTTTTCTCTAGAAAAAATATCCATCATTTTATTCTCATTCTTTTATTGCATTCCAAAACTTTCATGACTTTCTGATAAATAGTTTTGGCTGTAGCCAGTTGGGAAATGTCAAGTCTAATTTGGGACATTCTGTACTTTTTAATGAAATTATAAGATATGAAAACATAAAATGATACTTGTAAGCTAGATCCAATATTGAATTTTAATGTTGACAGGGCTTTTAAATAATCTTAAATTAATATTTAATATACATAATGTTGCAAATACATAATATACAATATCAATATACATAAATCTATTGATGATAGAAGAAATGGAATCGCCATGTGGCAAGAATGAACAATAGAGTGACATTTAAAGTAACTGTATTTAACACACAGTTACTTTCAATGTCACTCTATTGTTCATTTTTGCCACATGGCAATTCCATTTCTTGTATCATCAATAGATTTTTTACCACGTTCCCTAAGATCTCATAGTCATAAGATGTCTTGTGTTCAACTTTACTTAAGCACATTATTCTTTCAATTGCTTATTGAATGGCTTTCAGAATTCCCTCTTTATGTTGGCCATAAAAAACAGTAATAAGAAAGTTGATTTTTATATAAATTTAATTTATTTCTTTTAAAATTTAAATAGGAAAATGCGAGATTAATGGGAAATTGTTTAAACCTAGAGAAGAATATATGAATGAACAAAAGTGTGAAGTATGGACTTGCTTGAGAAAATCACCAAGAATAAATGGAAAAGTTGATAAGGAACATGCTCTCGTCGATGTATCAGGGTAAGTAAATCAGTTAAATATTACTTTTTATAAGCTTTTAAACAACGATGTATATTATGTTGGAACAGATGCGGGACAGCAACGATGTCGTACGGTAATGGTACTGAATGCAGCTATAAAATAACAACAGGAAAATATCCGGATTGCTGTTTTGGAGAATTAGAATGTAAGCAAGAAGGGTATAACGATATATCCGATTTCAAATAAATATATCTAAAATACATGTTAACGACCAAACAGAAGATACTGTGGTACTTTCTTATATAAACTTAATTCTAATATCTTAAAGATTAAATTTATTCATCAAATATTCAATAAACGTTACTGAAACTGATGTGAGTTACTGTGTAGAATATAATTATTCTTAATAAAATTTAATTTCGTGTCCATAGTTTATAGATACAGAATGTTTTAAAATGTTAATAAAATCCATGTGATAACTGTCATGTGTCAATATGAACAAAAGTCCCATGTAAAAGAAATTCGAGAACGAATAATTCTCGGGATTCTTGTACATGTGTACTTTTAACGGTTGTTTACATCAAACATCATTAAAAATAGTTTAATTATACATTTATTTGAAATAAAAAAATTGTAAAATACTCTAAATTGTTTGAGAAGTTAGTCTAAATATTTTTGAAAATGTTCAAAAATATTCTATGCTTACTTCGATTTGGTAGGTCTTGAGGTTCTAGGCTCTGCAGCCCCGGCATTTAAACAAAATGCCTTCTCTTGTATCAGCTAGTTGGACTTCAGCTTCTAGGCTATATCATCCCGTGGAGAAGTTTGATGAAATTGTCATGTAATAGTATTTGTATGCATTTTTGATGGTTATAATGCCTTTCGAGTGGTCTTTTTAAACGTAGCTGACCCATATTCAGGCGTTACAGACGTAGCGAAAACCCGGGAAACTAAACCTGGCCAGCTCTTCTTGTCAAGGCTCGAGAACTCCCCTGTGTTCAGGGAACGGGACCTCTTGGCCATTGGTGGGTCTTCAAACGAAATGTTACATCGATGAAACACAACTCCTCCTGCAAAAAATAGTAGCAGAACACGAAGCAGCCGTCAAATTAAAACACATAACTTCTTCACATCAAGATTATAAAAACAATAAAATTAACTGCAAGATTTATAAAAATAGTATAGATGATTGCATTCTGATGATAGAAGTTTCATTTTTATGTTACCAGAGCAGTGTGATAATTCTCTGTTAAATGTACTATAGTATTTGAGATATTAGTTTTAAACCGACCTCTATTTAAAAGCTGGATAAATTAAATCGAAAAAAATTTTTATTTTCGATTTAAACTAAGGCATTAAATGTACTTGAGAGCATAGCGAAAAGACTAGTATATTTATCGACTCTGGTAATAGCATCAGATCACAGGCCAGTTTTACCCTAGATTTACCCTAAATATGAAACGACACTAAACATTACTCCGAAAGGTTGAAATTACCCTAGAAACGGCAGCACTGGTTCTAAGGCTATTTTTATTTTCTCTGGATTATAGTATAGAAAGAAGCATTTCAAACTGATAATAAAGGCGAACTGTAGCGGACTGTGGCTATACTGCACTAGGTAGACATCCATAGCAATGGGAGAACCCATTTCACTTCAGTTAACGGTTGTTCGTAGTGAATTAGCGTATTTGTGTTTTTCGAAATTCGAAAGTTTTGAATGGTAAGTGAATTTAATTACTGTATTTCTAAAATATAAATCGTGTAGGTGTAGGTTCACTGGTGCACGTATTCCGTTCCAGAGACTTAGGGGTACATATTAATCTGAGTGATGTTCCCTTTTTTTAAAATTTGGTCTTGACAGAGATAAAGTAATTCAAGATGGCGATGCGTGAAATACGGAGCCCATTGGTTCTTTTAATATGGAATCCGTATGTGTAATTATGTCAGTGGCGTGCCGTCATTAGAAGCGGTGGAAGCGCTGCTTTTCTCGTATTTTCTAAAAAATAGATAAATATTAATTTTAATTATATGAAAATAATCGCACAATACTTCATTATAACAGTGGCGTGCCGTCATTAGAAGCGTTGGAACCGCAGCTTTTCTCGTATTTTCTAAAAAATAGATAAATATTAATTTTAATTATATGAAAATAATCGCACAATATTTTATTATAACCGCATTATGTATCTTATTATAATTTTCTATACTACACGTGGAAAAAAACAAAAAAAAAATTGCTATTGTATATTAGAATATTAGTGACGGAGTGTAATCTCCTGTATTTTCAGATTACGAAAAGCAAGATTTGCGCATGCGCTTTACAGAACACCAACCTCACCCGGTGTAGCCGGTGGAAGCCTACGACCTTGGGTGAAAGCTGCACACATATAAGATTACAACTCTGTCAAGGACCGGTTCTGGGCTGTTAGCCGCCTGCCCACTAGATATTTCGATTACGTGAATAATGAGTAGATTTATAACTTAACCCAACCGATAAGAATTTACTGGTATGTTTTTACGATAGTTCTGTATAGTTGACAGGAGTT